TAGTAACTCCAAAATGAGGTCTAGATCTTTCCATGTGGGAAACTGGTTGGTTAAAGATGAGTGCCAATTCTAAATCCATCTCTTCCAGTTATGGAAGCTGATGATGTATCAATCCAACAAATGCAGACAGAGGTACAAAGAATACCATTTGCTTTTAGCCTACAGAATCCCCTGTTACCAGAGCTGGCTATTGGATGGGTTCCCTCATGAAACAAATACCTGATACCACCATTTGAGGGTGGGCCAGGGTTAGCCCTGAGTGAAGAAGAGCATCGTCAGTCCCTGTGTGGTGCCCTGAGCCTGCCCAGCTTTGCAGCCTCTCCGTGCAGCCAGGCACAAGGTCTCTGAGAACCACACTCCTGTGGGCTCCTCAGCTCCCTCTACATCCATGGGAGCTCCATTTAGAAATACTTTTAGAGGCACAAATGAGGCCGTGGTACAGATGCTGCAGTGCAGCATTTCACCAGCTCCCACACCAAACAGACAATTCCTTCTGACTGGGGTCGAGCTAAATTTAAGTGCTATGTGGTTTCCTTTGAGAGGAAAAAAATGAGGAGGGGGGGAAAAGACTCTCTCTACCTACAAAGGGAAGGCAGCCTCTTCAGGAGGCAGGGACCACACTGAGTTTGCTGCATCTCACAGCTCCACAAACCAAACTGGCACGGTGGGTGTCACCAGCACCAAAGCCACTAGGAACATCTCCCAGGGCAGTGAAGGAACAGCAACTCCCTGCTAAGTTTGGTCTGCTTCCAAAAGACATTTCGTTGGCAGGGGAAGTAGCCAAAACTCAGAAAGAGCCAACAAATGAATAACTCACTACAATTAAATGGAGACGGGCCTCTTAGGGCAGGCCCAGTGATGGGAGCTGACTGGAGGGGTATTACTCAAACCTACATACCTGAAGAGAGCATCACCACAACCTTTGCTGGATTTAGGCCAGCAGAGAAGTCAAAAATCTTTCACATCAAAGCCAGTTTTACTCCTGTGGGTACCAGGTCACCACTCAGTGCTGATATGTGACAGAGAAAAGGACCCAAAAGGACAGACCCCTGTCAGCAGAAGCTGTGCTCCTGTGCTGAGCACTGTGGCTCCTCATTCCTGTTTCCTAAAGCAGCTTGGAACATGGATAATATTGAAAAATAATCCTGTGATCTGCCTGTGACTCAGATCCTCAGCTAATAAACTGGAGGATGCTGCTTTCCCCTCATTGCTTTCATGTCTACAAGGGCCTTTGGGAAAGGACCATTTCGTACAGAGTGTGAAACTCCTTCCACAGAAAGGCTCCATCACTGTTTAGAGAGCTCAAAGCATCAGCACACAACAAACTGGAACTAAAACAAACAGAACCAAACCCCAAACCCAGGACACTGCTTGTCTCCAGTTACCAACCCAACGTTCACCACAATCCCCAGCATGAATCACCAGGCACACACAAAGGTTTTAAGGTGCAGTAACAGTGGCTGGAGTGAGTACTGCAAACACTCGTTCAAATCTTTACCTCCCTCCCTACAGCAGCTTAGAGAGGTGCTTCTTAGACTCACACACATCAATTAAAAAAAATGACAAACTGCATCCTCCACAAAAATGAAGAGGCAGTAGCCACACCAGCCTGCTGGCTCCACTCCTCCCACCTCACCCAGCCACCCTCCCCTAAGGAGAGACTCCAGTCAACAGACACATCACACCCTGAAGTTCAGCAGATGCAAGCTGTGTCACGCCAGCCCGTGAGGAGCCTTTTGGAAGAGAGGGCACTGCCTCAGTGCCAGACTGACCTCAGAAACCTCAGGTGAGCCAAGAGAAGCCCTTGGCCAGCTCAGAGCTCGGTGTGTGCCCAACGCACACGTCTGGAGCATCCCAGGACCCTGTCACCCAGGGCTGGCTCCCCAGCAGGGAGCTGGGTCACGTTTCTGTACCTCCCCCCTCGTGTGCCAGCTTAGTCCCCCTCTAGAAGAGGCTGCAGAGGGAGGGAGTGCTTGCTGAGCTGGCAGAACAGCACCATGCTGCAGTAGGTAAAACATCCCCCTGTGTTTGTGAGTCCCCTCCTGGGTATGCAGACCCACGACAGCAAACGTGCTGCTCCTAGCTGAGCAGCCTGAGCCAGCTGCCTCCACAGTGTGCTGTAAGAAAGTGTCAGACCCACCTCACCCTGTGTCCTTCCTTCTGCCTGGGATTCTCTCGGGCTGCTCTGCTCTTACCATTTCCTATCCAAAAGTCCAAGTCTTAGGTGGTCATGACTGTTAAATTGTCACTGACTGTGTTGTCTCACAGCAAATTTTTAGGCTGCTCTGCTCTTACTATTTCCTATCCAAAAGTCTCAGGTGGTCACGACTGTTAAATTGTGACTGTGTTGTCTCACAGCAAATTTTTGAGAATTCAGGTTTTGTCAGCTTCCCAAAGCTGAAGATTAAAAAAATTCTTAACATAAACCCAGTTTGGTTCAACATTACCTGTCTGAGGTGCACATGAATGCCTTGCAACTCATTTCAAACACCATACACAGGCATACACCACCTTCTCCTTCAGTCCTGCTCAATCTTTTAGGTATTACACAGGAGCCCATCCAAACTAGCACTGACCTTAACCAATCTATGGATATATTGGGATTTTCTTCTGAACTGAGATGTTTGGCAGTTGTAATCCCAAGGCATTACCAGGAGGTACCATGCACAGACTTCAGCTACAGCACTCTGTGTTCCTATCAAAACACTTGTTTATGTTCTGGTTATGAGGTGAAGGAGCTGGACTGCAGCTCTGCTCTAACTTGGGGTCTCCTGTGACATCTCAGTATATTGGGGTTTTCTTCTGAACTGAGATGTTAGTTGTAATCCCAAGGCATTACCAGGAGGTACCATGCACAGACTTCAGCTACAGCACTCTGTGTTCCTATAAAAATGCTTGTTTATGTTCTGGTTATGAGGTGAAGGAGCTGGACTGCAGCTCTGCTCTAACTTGGGGTCTCCTGTGACATCTCAGCCCCCTCTCAGCAGATCCCCACTGCAGCTGGCTCCACGACTGAGCAGTGTTAATGCTACAGAATGAGGGAACCTTAAAATGCTGTGATTCACAGGAACCCAGAAACCTCACTGCAAAACCAGTCCTGGGGATTACATCACTCAGAATACAGGTCAGGGAGCTGAATCACACAGAAAAAAACCAATCCTGCTGTGTGAAATGGAGACATGCCCCTGTTAGCAACATTCAGATTGGATCTGCTTCCCTCCAGGGAGTAAGGAAAGAGTTATCAAATCCAGGGTGAAAGCAACTGGTAACTTCCCTGTAGATGAAGGGACCTCATTAGCACAGCTCAGTCAATCACACTTGGTTGCATGGGATGGGAGTGACCAGAACAAGAAGTGAGCCCCCAGAGACTATCAACCAGGAGCCTCCAGTGGAGTCAGAAGAGTTCAGCTGAGCTCAGGATGTGTCTTTGAATGCTAAACAAAATGTGTACCCCCTAAAGCCAGGGGAAGAAGTCAGTGCAGAGGGCAGGGAAAAGCTTTAATTATTGCTGACTTGTGCCTAACTAAAATGGACAGGAGGAGGGCTGGGGATAAAAGAGAATTCTTCCTTTCCCATTAATGAGCTCACTCTGCTGGCATGTCTCCTGCCCTCCAAGATTGCTCCCACAGCATGAATATAAAACCAGCTCTATAGCTACCCAGTGGTGTAAATTACCCACTCCTGATGCTGTTCTTACATGGGTTTCTGTCTCTTTCTGCCTCCAAACCATCCAGTTGCTGGCTCTCTGATGCTTTTCGAGCCCCAGCAATAAACATCTCTACTGGTTCCAATTAACAAGCCAATGAGCCTTGCCACAGTCCTGATTCCATAGGAACAAGCTCATATTATTCACCAACTGGTAGTAAAACACTTCAGGCCAGGCAAGGGAGGGCACATTGCTGTTACCAGCTGGAAAAAGTGCATAAACCAGCTCCTCACCCTTTACCATCCCTTTTCCAAAAGACACTTGCATGAACAAGGAGCCTGAAGTACCACTGAAAACAGATTTCACAGAGAAACTCCTTTCCTACCACACACATCACGTCACTTCTCCTCCAGCCTGCACAAAAAACCTTGGAGGCAGCAGATTAACAACCCTGCCATAAGAAACCTACTGCAAAAATCTACTGCATTAGGCAAGGAGCAAAAACATGGGACAGCTCACCAAGCTAATGGCCAGGCAGTGATGCTACACCCATCACTAATCCCCTGATGGCTCTAACTCCTGGGCTAACTGGCTGCAGCCCATGGCTGCTCCGTGCTGCTTTTCTAAACCCTCAGCATGGGCCTTTTCTGGGAATGACCTCAGCTAGTGAGCTGTGAAGGAATTCCAGTCCCCCTGTTTGCCACTCAGGGCAGGTACCTCCTGACTTCACAGCCTAGACTGGAGATGTCACAGTGAGGGGGTAGGAAAGAGCATGTGAAACAGAAGTTCATCCAAGGAAGAGTAGGAACAATGATGTCAATTTTTTCTCCTGGGAATGAAGAGCTCTTCTCTGCTGCCTCCCTGAACTGCTGATGGGAAGGAGAAAGGAATCAAGAAGAGCTACAGAAAACTCTCCATAACAACCTGAAAGAAAAGTAAATTGTGACCAAACAAAAAAATCCAGTCAATTCCTGGACATTCTGTGAAACCAAGGGGAAAGGCAGTTGAAGGATTTACACTGCAAACTGTGCCAGAATCATCCCAAGGCACTGAGTTAGAAAACGTATGGATTTCACACACTGGTTAATTATTCATTGATACTGATACATAAATAAAGTTTCTTTCCCTGAAAATAAAACATAGTTAATATTAATTTGAAGACTTCAAGAGGCTGAGATCTCATCTTCAGTAGTTCCATCCATCTTCAGTGCTCCCACATGGAGCCATGATGCTTCTCATCAGCCTTACCCTCAATTTACCTTCCAGCCATCGATCCTTGCTACGCATTTATCTGCCAGCACCCCCAAATAAAATTCCCCACAGAGGAAGAGTTCAAGAATGGCTTGTTTCTTACCATCATGGCCAGAGTTGAGAAGATGCTCTCCCAGGTCACAGCCAAACACCCTTTCCTTCAGGATCCCTCGCTGCTTCAGCTTCTGCTTCGTTGGCCGCGACTTCATGAATGTACGAAGGAAGGTGATGAGCTTGCCGTGTTTTTTTGACACTGCACAACAAAATTAAGAACAAACACTTCATTTTAGGCTTGGCATAGTTGGGCAAGGCCAAGCATAACACATTCTACAGGGCATGTAAGAACCACAGTAACATTAACATCAGTTATTTACAGAAACACATTTCCCAAGGTCTGATACTGAACAGACTTGGCTTTTGTTCTCATTTTTGGCTAGGGAGAGACAGCTCTAATGCAAGAATTTATCACAAAGACACACATTTATCCACAAAGCAGCTTCAGGTGGGAGCATCCTAAAGCTCTGTCAGGATGTACTGGCTGATGGGCAGCATCTGAGAGCTATAATTTTCACCTCTGGAAAAACAAACCAGGCTGAACTAACCCAACCAGTAATCTCACGCGCGTCGACAATCTACCAGCAGAAATAAGTGCTTTGGCTCTCATTCTGGTAGTCTTAGGTGCCTCCAGAACAAACAAATGACTAATAATAGCTGAACTCAGAGGATGTTTGGGTCCAAGTGCCTTTCCCTGCAGCTTTAGTGGAGCTTGCTGCAGCTGGAGAGGTACTGTCCATCCCGGGGCACTGCAGCATCCCAAGACTTCTCAAGCCTTTGCAAGATAGAAGTGCTGCTGTCTTTGGTTTGTTTAATAGCAAACTAAGGCAGCTGATTTAAAGAGGTGAAGTTTATCCCCTCCAGAATAAATAAAAGAAGTCTACAAAGAGATAAGGATGTAGATCAGGGACCACCCCTCTGATCCTCTGGCTCTGTTTCTGCCCACGATGCTGCACAGTCTCTGTGCTATGCTGCTGAAATGGGTCATTCTGTTAAAACCACCCAGTCCTGTAAGGAGCATAATCCCCCCCCAGTGAAATGGGGAGTCAGCCATACAGGGCAGAAGTGGGTGACTGGAATAAACTCATGCAAAAGGGGAGGAGAGGCCAGCACAGGTTTGAATGGGAGCACAACAATGCCCTTGAATGTCAATTTTTCTTCCTGAGGCCCATGCTGAAAGTGAGAGGGCTCTGGCCTCCCCAACAAAAGTGCCATTGTCTCCATGATTTAAAAGCAGTTTAACTTGAACAGAAGAGCTCTATTGAAAAGAACAAATCACTAGGTATAAAAGGCTGGGCTTTGTGAGCAAGCCTTTACAGCTCCAGGAAGTAGTAAAGGCTCCTGCAGCACCACAAGGCAACAGCAGCATCATTACTCCTTGCTCCCACCTCAGCTCCCAGAGAGGAAACAAAACCTGCACTAAAACCCCAAGCACTGCAATCGAATCTCAGCAGAGTAATGCTGTTTCAAACTAAAAAGACAAGCAACCAAGAGCCCTGGTGATGGAGATGCAGCTCTGCAGAGTCACCACTCTTCAGTAAAATGCCCCACCTGAAATCTCTGAGCAGCTTTGGAGGCTGGGACTCAGCAGAAGAGACACACAGAGGCAGGCAGGGTGTTCTTCAACCAGACAATGTGAAAGCCCTTGGCCCAAGGACAGGGTTGTACAATGCTATGCTTTGTGATGTTTTCATCTCCTTGAGTATCTCTATTTTCCCTTTTATTTTACCAGGTATTGATGCAGTCCCTCTATTTAGAATAAACCTGATTCCAATCTTGGCCCAGGGACAGGGTTGTACCACGCTATGCTTTGTGATGTTTTCAGCTCCTTGAGTATCTCTGAGTATTTTCCCTTTTATTTTACCAGGTATTGATGCAGTCTCTCTATTTAGAATAAACCTGATTCCAATGAGCTTATATTTCTATCTGCTTCTGGATAAAGTCCCTTTTAGCAGTGTGACACCACACGGATCTGCAGCAGTTAAACTACCTGAAATCCTCAAGCCTCCCTCAAAACCCACGTCTGTGTTCTCAACAATCAAACCCAGATCATTTAACAGAAGTGTCAAGCATGACAAACTGTGGCTACGGGGGCTTTAATTAGAGGAATGTTTTCAGCTTGATGTTGGGGTTTTTTTTTAACCACATGCAATAAATGAACAGATTGTGCTGACGTGTGAAACAAAGTTAGGGTAGGTTTTGGTCGTACCCATCATCACAGTGAAATCACAGCTCATTTAGAATCCCTCATCAGCCTGGCTCAAGAATAAATGGAGGCAGAGCCTCATCTTGGCTGGGGTGGAATTTCAAAGGGTTAGCAGCCTCGGGCTCTTGTGAGAATGCTCTTGGAGGTGACAGACCTGACACAGATGCTTTTACAGCAAACAGACAAATAAAGCTATTACTCAGACGTAGGTATTCATGTGAATCATTCCATGGACTCTGCATACAGTTCTTCATGAAATATCTTGCTTGAGCTGATGAAAAATGAGTCACCACTGCCAAGACTCTGGCCCCATTCTCTTGGCACATCCCCCCTTAGCTATTGATCAGATAGATCCCTCTCTGAGCCTTCTCTTCTCCAGGCTAGAAGGTCTCTCAGCCTTTCCTGGGCACAGAGATGCTCCAGCCCCTCAGCATCTTCAGAGCCTGCACTGGACTCTCTCCAGGAGCTCCTTGTCTCTCTTGAAATGAGGAGCCCAGAACTGGATCCAGTACTCCAGAGATGGCCTCACTGGTGCAGGGTGAAGGGGCAGGAGAACCTCCCTCAGCCTGCTGGCCACACTCAGCCTGGCCCCAGTCCTGACCCTTGGGGACCACCACGAGTTACAGGCCTCCAACCAGACTCTGCACCCCTGCTCCCAACCCCCTGAGCCCCTAAAGCCAGCTTCCCACACCTCTCTTCTCTGATTCACTGCCTGCCCTGTATGAGGGCTTCTCATCCTTAACTGACTTCAGAGCTCTGTACCTACGCAAGAATGATTCACTGACAGGAGCTGGGCTGCTCCTGGGTGGGGAAGAAAGGGAGAGCAGCCAAAAAATCCAGGCAGTCCTCTCTGTGCTGACAGGTTATAACAACAAAGAAGAAGGCAGGTAGGTGTCTGATAAGGATAAGCCATCTTCATAAGCTGCAAGAGCTCAGGAGGCTGTCAGGTAATGTTGTCTGTCCACCAACAGCAACAGAAGGTGAAACCTTTTCTATCCTGCTGCCCAGGCCTCAGACCAGCAATGCATCCCAGGAGAGACTGAGTTTTGGGGCCTGCAAAAAAAGCTGGGGAGGGACTTTTGACATGGGCTTGTAGTGGTATGATGTGGGGTAATGGCTTCAAAGTGGAAGAAGAGAGATTTGGATTAGAAATGAGGAAGAAGTTCCTCACTCTGAGGGTGGTGAGACCCTGGCCCAGGTTGCCCAGGGAAGCTGTGGATGCTCCATCCCTGGAGATGTTCCAGACCAGGCTGGATGGGGCTTGGAGCAACCTGCTCTAGTGGGAGGTGTCCCTGCCCATGGCAGGGGGTTGGAACTAGATGATCTTCAAGGTCTCTTGCAACACAAAGCATACTATGATTCTCTGAGTTTCTGGTGCATTTCAGGTTAGATGAAGCTGGCACAACAGTCCCAGTCTCTGGATAATGCTAATGTTGCTACCAAGAATCTTGCAGAATAAATGTTTTCCTCTCCAGAACACTGTTCCCACATCTTTGCTGTCCCATTGGTGACAGCACCAGCGTGAGTAGTTGTCCTACAGTCCAACACCCATTTCCAGATCTCAAAACCCCCAGAATTAGAGAATGCAAGAGAGTTACAAAATCAATGTACAGGTTTTAAACCAGAAAAAAAAATGTTAAACTGTTACAAAGTAAAGCAATGTGAATAACATAATTAGCCCCATTCTACCTGTACTGACTCACCAGCCAAGTGGGGATCTGATAAACCTGAACCATTCACCATCTGTGTCTCTGTGTGGGGTGTTCAGGTCGATGAGTGTCACAGAATTAAATTCAGACACTAAAGCTGCATTAGCACCAGACAATTTTATGTGGGTGCTGCAGGCAGAGATGCTGCCAAAAGGCAAACAGAACTAAACAAAAACCCTAACGCTGATCCATGTTACTTTCCACCTCAGATTTAATTGATATAAATGAAATTGTTTAGCAAGAAACGAAGGCTTTCCTAGAAGGACATGGGGCTGATCTTCCTCAGAAAGGCAGGTTTGGCTGAAGATCCTGGCCTGAGCAAGGACAAATTCTCCATCAAACTCTCCACAATGAGAGAGGCTAAAAAAATCCTCCAATCAAAACCCAAACAACAAAAAACCACCCGAGGCTGGACTACTTCTGCAGCTTTGCTGGCACAAATGTGTCAATTAGGAGTGAGGAAAAACCATCCCACCCTTAGCTGACATGACTATGCTGGCCAAAGCCTTTTTACAGCAGGAAGGGAGAAAAAGGAACACTTGTGCCAGGTAGTTTATTGTGGTTTTGGGGAACTGCCACAGGCTGTACCTCCCTGAGGAACATCCATCAGCCCAACCACGCTGTTGTTGCTACACCACCAGGCTTCTGTGGTATAAGCAGGGCCCAAAATTCCCCTGACATTGATAAAAACTATTAAATAGCAATTACTTCATTAAAAGCAGGGCTTGTTGACCCTGATGCTGCAGACTGGAAAGGCACTTCAGGATGTACTTTATGCTGCTTGTTTCCTGAAGCTTCCCTTGTGCCAACCCTCAGCGAAGAGGTTTCATGGCTCTTGTTCAGCACAATATGTGTTTCCTGGGTTACTTTGGGAACCCCCTGAATGCTCTGGGGATCTCCTGGGACATGCTGAGGTCTCCTGTGTCTCCCTCTCAGCCATCATGGCTCTCCTGCTGCCTCCCTCCACCTCTTCTGTGAAGCTGCACCGTGAACTAAGTCACCGCAGCGACCCTGATTAACAATAATCTGCTGAACTTGATGCTCTTACAGCAGCTTGGAGCAGTTGTGGCAGCCCCAGCGAGGGGCTGTGGTGGAGCAGAGCACAGGGAACTGCACCTCCTGAGGCTGAGCTCCTTCCCCAAGCCAACAGGCTGCAAAACTACCCTCAGCCTGCCAGCAAACGAGCTGAATTCTCTGAGGCACAAGCAGCCGTGGAGCAGCAGCTTCTGATCCCTCCTGTGCCTGTGCAGATCTGCCAGGGATGTGATTACTCTGGATT